TCCATGATATACGTTAATGAAAGTACATATTTTGAATTTTGTATAAAAGTCAATCAGTTTCAAAATTTACATGTATTATATTAAAAGTTAAAATCTTAAGTTCAAATTTAGATAGTTATAGATAAGTTTGAACTTTAGATTTAAACTTTTAACGTAACACATGGTTAAGTCAATCAGATTCATAATTGAAATGATTTAGGAAAGAAACAGAGTAATTTTTGTTACAATAGGTCTGTGCTTGGAAGAGACAACAAGAAATTGGACAGAAGCGTCAGAAAGCTGTACCTTAGCCGTGTTCAACACACCACTCAGTGTCGGTGTCTCTATCTCAGGAGTACCCATCCTTGATCACCGCAGACCTCAGGTGCAGAGATCCGAGCCCCTTGATATTCACTGGATAGGAGCCACGGGAGAATTTACACCGTGGTTTAAACTATTAGGTAATTTGATGACATCGAGACGCTTAGAAGGGGAAAATCTTATTTGCTATTTTCTTAGTATATAAAATGTATTATAGTTCATTCTACCATACCTGAAGAAAAGTAAGTTATATGTACATATTCCTTCTTGAGATGCTGGCCAGGAACCCAACAATATATGACTGCATGCTCACAATATATGTATTTTTTATTCATTTATCAATTACCTTAATTTAAGCTTGTTTTCCAGGTTGCTTCCTGTATTTTTTCCCTCATACATTCAGTAGAAAATTGACGTTTAGCTCAAGTATTGGTCCTGTCGCTGAATGTCATCAAATATGTGAAGTTTGGAATGAGAGCTATAAGGATCTGGGAATAAATGTAAGCATACATAATTTTGTCTATATAATCATAATATCAAAACAAACTCCTAGCTTTTAAACCTGAAGAGATTTACATTAAAACTTTCATTAGGTGGCATCTAAATAAGAAAGTATTTTCTGTAAATTAAAAGGACTCATTACTCACTTATCATTTGATATTGGAGATGGTTTTCAAGAGAGCGTCTTAAAACAAAAAATATATATGAAAAGATTGAAGAAAACCAACAGTGATTTCGATCTCAAGAAATCTATAAACAGTACAAACTGTGAAGGGGGCATAAAACACAGACCCCTGGAACTTCCAGAGGTAGGATCAGGTGCCAAGGAGGAGTAAGCATCCCCTGTCACCGATCACACCCGCCGTGAGCTGTATGTTTTGTTCAGGTAGGCTGGGCATTCCATAATTAGATTCAGTTCAAAAGGCCTAACGATTGGTATGAAATAGGTCATATTTGATAAAAAGGTAATTATAAGAACCATAGCATTAACGATATGTTGACTTGAAATAAGGTAGTGGATATCACTTGTGTGATGTACATGTATTTTCAAACTACCATACTGGCTTTAAATAAAGCTTATCTTATCGTATGATGTACTTTGAAGTACATGTAGCAAGTACATATAGCATTGTTTTCAAAAGGATTAATACAGAAAATAATAGTTGCGAACTACTTCTCATCGACTTAGGTCATTCAAAGACGGGGTTTGAACCAACGACATTCTCATCATGTAGAGATTGAGATACAGTGAAGGTCACATCGAATTCAGAATCGGACTATATTAAATTTTTATGTTAAACAGTGTTAAATACTCTTATTAAAAATAAACAAGGACATTATCTACATGTATTAAACATTTTTCACACTTAGAAAATAGTATTGCCCAAGAAATGTCATCTTTTTCATATCTAGGGAAAAGGAATATTGAATATAAATTTCAAATTATAATTGTAGGAAACACATTGCTTCTGCAGAGAGAAAGAGAAAACAGAACTGAGCTCAGTTCCAAACAAGACCTGCAAAGTTCAGAGTTCTGAAAACTTTTTGAAAGATTTAGTTGGAGCCAAAATTGATACATGGCGAGCAAGGAGTTTTTTGGGAATCGTTATGTATAGAAAAATGAATGATGTGACATATATAGGTGAAGTTGGTTACCAATACACAAACATTCATAAAGTAACTGCACCAACAGAATAAAACTTAAAAGTTACAAAAGATACACATAAATGTTCAACTTTTGTTCACTTTTTGCACAGACCAAAACTAAAATTCGTCAAAAACATTAAATTGTTGTAAACTTAAATAAATTCCTTTTTTATTTAGACTGCTTCAGTAATACCGGGTATTTTAATTTTTGAATTTAAGGTTTCTCTTTAGCAGTTAGCATTATTTTATGTGTAATTAATAGAAGCAATTGTTAAATTAGTTATCTGTTGTTGTAGACGACGATAGACTAGATGAGTGTCTGATAGAGACAGAGGACGGCAATGTGACGTATCCTTGTGATTCTGCAGGTGCGCGATCCGTGGTACCAAATTAACCTATTCTCTTTCATTTAATGTATGGCTGGTGTTTTTTGATTGAATGTCTTATTAACAATAGATAGTATGGGATATACATGGACAGAAAGTCTGATACGCCAAGAGATTGATAATAATAAACTTCCAAGATGGACTCCTTACACACGTCGACTGATTATAAGTGAAAAACGAGGTAAGTTCACACTGACCTTAAATATGATTTTAAAAAGAAGTTTATTTATTGTTTATTCAGACGTGTATAAAAAACAGGATATCAGCATATCTGTTCTACTTTCTATTCTGTAAATTGAGATCTTCGAACTTATCTAACAATAAATTAAGGGTAATCCTCAATGCAAAATAGACCATGGACATGATTTTAAAGGATACGCACTAGACTCAGAGAAGCAAAACAAAAACAATTTACTGTATTTACAAATAAAACGAAGGTACCACAAAGCGGAGCATCCCCCTCCAAAGACCAGTATGATCGGTTCCGATTGAAATACCCTAACTCATATTTTGTACATCAAAAACTCGGTTCACTCACAAACCAATACACACGATTGAAGTACTATATCCCTTTTAGAGTGTTTGCTCTGTGACTTTAATGTGAGGAGATAACCACGAGTAATCAAGCTCTAAAATCCACAGGTATAATACTGCAGTATGTATTTGGAGCAGAGCAAACACAGACCACCAAAACATCAGAAGTGAAATCAGGTGCATTAGAGAAATATGAACCCCTCCATTGTCAAACGGTCACACTGTCCGTGTGCCCCATGGGACGATCGCCAAACAAAAGAAATTTCCCGAGAGGCGTCATTCATTATTCAACTTAAAGACGGTTTCACTTTGCTAACATAAACACCATATACAAATGATACTGATTTATTACTTAATATTTACAAAATATAAGTATTTTGCATATAAAATATGTGTAAATCTATGCCATTCAAAACACCATAACACAGAAAGGGGGCTCAAAAGATTAAACATGTGTTTTATATCGACGTCACAAACGTTTAACGCAGGGGAAGTGCAACGTCCTACGTCATCAGCGAAAATATAAAAAAAAAAGACGCTCACATTTACCAGAAGTTGTTACATTGGCTCCTCCATTAACAGTAGCTTACACGAAGGATAATACTTAAGGGATGTTTGTAAGTTTTGTTTGTGGGTTATTGGTGTGTGAACCACACAAACTTGTCACGTAGGCATACATGCAAATATGTATACGTGCAAGTCTGTGAGATGCAATTGCATGCTCTACGTATGTACAAGTACAATATCTAAAACGAGGATAATTATTGACAAACAAGTAAATGAAACAAGAATATAAGCAATCTAAAGTCATCATTTCGTAAGTTCTGTGGTCGACACAAAGATTTTGTCAGCAAATACAATTTATCATTGAGTCAAATGCTGACTGGCTTTTTTCATGCTAATTGTTAGTCCATTATTTATACACTGAATTGACGACGGACTTTTACGTTATTTTCCGGTCATGACATGGAGCACACGGCGAGTGTGACCGGTCAGCAGGGGATGCTCACTCCTCCATGGCACCTGATCCCACCTCTGGTGTTTCGGAGGTCCGTGTTTGCTCTTCTTCTATTTTGTATTGTTTTATGGACCTTTGAGCTTGAATACTGTTAGTTATCTCCACATAGATCATTAAGACACCACCGCATGCCGGTGGAGGGCTGCAAATTTAGACCTGTACTTGGCACTCGTGACCTTTGAGCAATGTGAACTCTTTTTTTCCTACCAGCAACTACTGCGACTCGAAACCTCAGTTTAAACAGTCTCGTCTGAAGAACTGCTCTTTACGTCGCATAGTGAGCTAAATGCTCCCAGTGCTTCTAGTTTCAATCTAAAATTATAAAAGGGATAAGTAGACGACTGCATTTATAATCAACTGACTTTCATCTAAAATTCTAAAATAAATCTTCACTTTTTTGATAAGGTACCAGCGCCTTGCAGGATGGGACAGTATGTATCGGGATTCGCTACCAATCAAGGGCTTATGAACCTATACCTATACCCTGCAGTGAACAACATTCTTCCTTATGCAAGACTGATACAAAGACAGGGAAAGGTTCAACAACAGCAAATCTACGTAAATAATGAATATTGATACACGGAAAATTTACAAAGTTCTAAAAAAATATTACCATACTTAATACATGTGTAAGGTAAACACAGAAATCAATTAATAAAAAAATTATGAGCTAAAAAGTCTATTTTGTACTTAATTAAAAAGGAAAAAAAAAGAAATGATTTTTTTTTCATTCTCTTCTTGTAAACTAAACAATATATTAAAAAAAGGTAAATCTTGAAGATAAGAAGGAAACTAAAAAAAAAAACAATTGAAAAGGAAAATACAAAAAATGAAATCTAACCTACTTTCCATTCTGTTAATGCTTTTTACTGCATGACTTTTATATTGACTGTTTACCTTGTTCTCTGCATGATAAACATTTTATTATAAAATATTGTTTCTAGGATTTGTGAATAATTGATATATTTTTTATGCAGATACAACAGCGCCCCTTACTACAAGTTATAGTCACAGATCATCGAGGGGACAAACAACGTTTGGGCACCAAATAACAGGTTAAGCTCCTGTAGATAGTCAGAAAGACAACAATGGTTAATATAGCAATCTAATTCATACTTTCTTTGTTAAGTTTTTACCACAGTTTTAATAGAGAGGGTTCTTCATCAGTAAGGTTTTTCCAATGTGAATAAACCTGGTTATCTTGTGTAGTCATTTTCAGAGATTCGCAACTCAGATTGCGCATGTAATTTCAATTAATTCAGATTCAGTATGCCGACTCATGGCAGATAGAGACAAAATTATAGGATAAAAACTGTAAATTCGGTCGCTTGTCTAGAAATCGGCAAGTTGCGACAACGCTTGTGCCAGGGCTACACTATAGCCCAGTGACGCGACGTGAAGTACAGATTTGGCGACACAGTAAGCGATTAAAATGCGGCGCCTGTGATAATGCAGAGTTTGGCACAGGCAGTGATGCAGAGCGCGACACAGACCATGCAGACGGCGGCTACGATCGCGTCAGGGCCTGTCCATATCAACTACTTTTACTGCCAAGGATTCCGGTACGTATATCACAGGTACAATCAATTATGATCCTTTAAATAATTTGCCGAATCCGTTTATCAGTGTAGCTTTCCATTATTAATTGTTTTTTCAGACAGAATGGGGCATGTTATAGAGGTTAGAATTTCCAGATAATGTTTTATTATATATTTCTTTCTTTACGCCTCACTAAAATATTAACAATCGTGAAGGAGAAATTTTAGGAGTATATTCGAAAGTGGTGTAAATCAGATATGAATGCTAAAAAAATAAGTGGAACTTTTGGAAAACTTGAAATCACTAAATTGCATCAAAATCTACGGCATAAAATCTTACGACTTTTCAACTTTATGTAAATCAATTCCCCACCATACATTAAAGTGCAGACCTTTTGATATAATTGACAACTACTTTTACGATAAGAAGAGAACTCGTCACTCGTGAATTTACATACTGTACCTTGTTATTGGTCATTTGTAAAATTATTTTGCTAAACAACATTCTGATTGCATGTACACACAAATACACTGAAATATATTTTTTCCGTTATTTCCTGATTATGACAAAGCACACGCTGTGACCGTTTCTCCTCCATGGCACCTGATCCCACCTCTGATGTGTTTTTGCTCTGCTCTTATTTTGTATATTTGTTTAATGGACGTTGAGATTGAATACTGTTCGTTATTTCCATATCCTTATATTTAAAAAAGCTTGAGTTTCTGAATGACAATATCTGTGTGTTTTTGGAGATCAGGTATTCCAATAATCTGTTAGAATTCCCATGGGTACTAATTGCTAAGAGGAAAACACTTGCCGTAGCCTTCAACTCGACATTTTGTCAATTAACCCTGGTTATTTCCATTCTTATGTCGAAACAAGCTTGCCAGTGAGCTTGAAAGAAACGATAACATCTGTTCTTGCTTGGACATATTTTGCAAGAGAAACAACGAAGCTTTTTTTTCCAGGACATTGTGGGCATCGTGGAACTTGAAAATTAAGAAAGAGGACGCGGGCACAGTAGAAAATCCTCTATTTAAAATTTTCAAAACTGAATAAAACTATTGTCACTTAATGTTTACCAGTTTTTTTCTAAGTCCTGACTTGAATAAGACATCTGTTACACTAGATGGTAAAGTGTTCCAGACGGATCACAGATGGAAAGAAGGATTCATTATAGATGTCTGTTCGGCGTTCTGCAGTCTTTGTTGATGGCCTCTAGTAGCAGCAGCACCAGTAGGATGGAAAAAGGTGAGGGTGGAATGGCTTCAAGAGAATGCAGGATCTTATATACAAACACCGCTTTGGCTGGTTGTCTACTTAAACTATGTTGTAGTGGTTCGAACGCAATACAAGCATATAACATCTGAGATCCGATCATTGAAGTGTAGCACATCTCCTTGGTTTTCTGAGGACAGAATGGTAGGTTCCTCTGGAGAAAGGATGTGATCTGGAGTATGCCTTCTTACAGACTAGGTCAAAGTGGTGATTCCAGCTTAGGTTGTTGGTGATGGTTACACCCAGATACTTAGCATTAGCAATTTCATAAACTGACTGTGTATAATGTAGTTTCACCTGATCATTTTTTTTCTTTACGAATGACATCTCAATTGTAAGAATCGAATTCCATCAACCAAATTCGTAAAGATAGGTAGTGACTGTTCCTTCGCCAAGGTTCGGCATTAGAAGTGAAAGTCCCTGGTCTTTAAAACGTAGGTCCCGTGTCACGGTAGGCGCTGGCACGATAAAGAACCCTCACTGCTCAATGGCCCTAAGTGTCGAGTATAGGTCTAAATTTTAAACCCTTCACTGGCATACGGTGACGTCTCCATATGAAAAATTCTCGAGAGGGACGTTAAACAATAGATAATCAATCAATCATATATTGGAGGTTAGATATATGTCCTATTGTAAATCTTGTCTGAATAACCAGGCCACTAACTGGACTGAAATCTTCTAATGCCTGTTTGTTGCTTATTATTTTAGGCGACCTTCCAATATTCTCATGAAGCAGAATTTAATCAAACTTTCTTCACAAGATCTCACGATTGAAATTCTTCAAAGGAATTTGGAGATTTCACTTTTCATTTTTTACACATTTTTATTGCTGAGATTGTGATAGCTTAAGACAGTTTAATTTTGTTATGACACTGAAGATTCTCAAAGATAAATATATATATTTACGATGAAGAAACGAGTATAGTACAAGAAACATTTTAGACTTCAGTCCCACAATTTAACACATTTAGATGTCCTTGTTTATATTTCTATCATTTGTTGACCAATTGACACATACCGGAAATATAAATGGAAAGTGATAGTGATTAACAAATAAGATAGTACTCCTTGTGATTTGTTTATTGGTATAACCCTCTTCATCATTTCCTTCCCTGTATGGGGTGAAAAATACTAGAGTAACAGAGCAGAGGATTAAAACGAAAGGGTGAACAAAGCCAGATAAAATGACCTCTTCTTAAATGAATGCATTATGATAATATTGATACTAGTATTTTTATAATGATATTTTAAAAAGGAAGTCAATATATTTTTTATAAATTAAAGTGTTGAGAGATCTATATGACACCATAATCAAGAGCAAGCAATGAAAATGAGGATATCTATCTTTATTTTTCTTATTTTCTTATGATCTTAACATATATCATTATGTTATATTTAGATGAAAAAAAAAGATATTAAGTTAAACTTAAATTTTTTTTCTGTTCTTCTCAGTAATCTTTTTTTTCACTTAATTAATTTCTATTACATACAAACTTAAAGTTTTTCAAAAATAATTCTTTATAACGAGGAAACAGGTTGCTCAAAATAGCGAATACTATTGTCACTGATGATATTTATAGCTTGATGACTGTTTAAAACTGGGACGACATGGTGTGGAATTCCCCCTTTAAACTGTGTTAACTTGAGGGTTTCAAGGAGGACATTTAAACTGAGATTTACAATGGGGGACTGTGTTTTATTGGGAGTTTTCCTTGTTTTGATTCTGTGTCATCAATCGCTCTCATCGTGTGAAACTGTAGTCAAAGGTAAGGTTTTTATATAACATTTCCAAACAGTAACTTGTTTAAGTTCCTCATTCGTTTAGTAATGTTTAACAAAGACAAGGGCTGATAAAATGTTTATGTACCTTTTATATCTTATTATAAGCTTAAGGTAATGGGTGTGGCCCGTACATTAGGATCTTCAAAAGGGGGCTCAACATATGAATAACGAACATGCAGATCCATGGAAGAGAAAAATAAAATACTTAATTCGCACTGTCAACATTTCCTTTCCTCTTTTGATTCAACTAGCATTTAGTGCTATACATGTACAATGAAATGATTTGCATAGCTCACTGCTCAAGCTTATCAAATAAACCCTAAATGCAATACGAGTATATTTATATAGTTACTCTATTGTGAGAAGCATATTCTCGAGGTGAAATAAGGTGATTGGGTATCGTTTTTGCCCAATATGATTATCTTTAAGCTGTCTGACATTATGTTTTAGTGTAAAGCATAAAGGAACATGCAAACCCATCATGTTCTTCCTCGTGTTATCATACAAATCAATGCAATTCCAACTATTTGAGCAGGTTTAGTATTATGTACAGCGTTCGAGGCATTCACTCAAAAAAGTATCTTTCTATTACTAGTATGTTGAAGAGGATTTCAGATAGACCGATGTCTGTCGATGCAAAGTTTATTCGATGTTTTTACTATATTATTAAGTTAATTGTTGTATTGTAAATTGTATGAAATACTGCAAACACAGGTTAGACAGGTAACATGTACATCTAATCTATTACAATGCATTTTCATGCCTCACCATGAAAATGACCGGCATAAAGAGTTTGTAATGTGCGTCTTCCGTCCTTCTGTAAATGCTCAGTTTCAAAGAAACTTCAAGATATTTGATCTTATGAAACTTCATATGCTGATAGATATTGATCAGAACCATTTAACTGGATCAATTGTTTTTACCTTAACATTACCTCACTTAAGAAACCATTAAAGAAAGTGCAATCGAACTTCATATGCTTATAAATGCATGCTTTTTTACTGCATTAACATTATTTAAGCTTGACCTTATACATGTATTTTATTTATATACCTTGACATCACTTTTCTAAAATTATTTTTTAGCTCAGTTTCAAAGAATCCATTTACAGTAGTGTTATCAAACTTCACTTGCTGATGCATACTGATGTTAGTTATGTTCCCCAAACGAAGTTGGGGAACATATTGTTTTTACTCTGTTTCTTATTATTATTATTAGGGTCTTCTGTCTTCAGCGGAAGACCCTTCTATTATTCTTCGGTTTCTTTTTTACCTTTATTATTATTATTTATTCTTTTTTTTCTTTACAAAATTTGTGCAGAAGATTTCTCAGAGATTGCTCGTTCGATTTTATTCAAATTTTCAGAGTTTATGTGTTTCTATCTGAAGTTTATGTTCTAATTCGTTTCACTCAAACGAACATAAATTATTTACAATCAAAACAAGAACACTTGTCTATATAGGAATGGAAGCGCTTGCTTGCCAATATTTATTAGACGTATACATTTACATAAAGTCTTCAATGGTACCGATTCTCTACCTTCCTTCTACAATATATCAAAAATATTATTAATCACACATAAGAGTAAAAAATGCATTTTAACACAATGCTTTTATATGTCCTCACTTTACCGATTAAAAACGAAATATAATGCTTGTATGAATATAATTATGCTTCCCTCGCCGCCCAGGAAAAACCATAGATAAAAAACAACATCGATTTATGTTGAAAAAACTATGGAAACCTGTAAGTCCGCAGCAATTGCGAGGTAAACAAAATGAATGGCGGACTCATTCTCACAAACTTACGTAAGGGCCATATATTATAATGTACAATTACATGACTAGTTTAAGTAAAACCTATGCAAAATAAATGTAAGTTAGAACTATCTGTAAATACATTTCGACTATATGTAGGTACTGTGTACCATTACACAACAATCTTACATTTATATCAAATTTTACATAAAATTATTTAAAGCGACTAAGCAAATTGTTTCCCATCTTTGACAATTAATCCGTTGTGTACAAAACTTTTAATTTTCTTGTAATGAAAACAATTGCTTTCTTTATCAAACAAAAGACAAGTAAAAAAGGTTGAAGTAAGTCAGAGGGTGGGTGGGTGCGTGTGAATGTCGCAAAGCAAAGCCTTCGAATGAGTTAAAATCGTGATTAAAGTGAATACCTGTTCTACAGGTATCGACCTTTAAATACTGACCAATAGCTACTGTCGCTTTTATTAGCACATAATAAACAAAAGCACGTGTTCCTAGTACATATGATAAATTAATTTATGTTCTAATTCGTTTCACTCAAACGAACATAAATTATTTACAATCAAAACAAGAACACTTGTCTATATAGGAATGGAAGCGCTTGCTTGCCAATATTTCGAACATAAAGAAAGAGGGCTCTGGTTTTTCTACAAGCTCAAGAAGCAGTTAAATTTAATGATCATTTATATGAGGATTCTTTGCTAAACATTTTTGTGAATGTTGACCTTTCTTGCATTTTTCTTGATCATATGTGTGTTTAACAATTTCTGGTGGAAAATATATTTATTTATTTATTTATATTTTAAGTAAAACTAGATATGCAAACTTAACCTATATTTGCCCAAATAAATATAAAACATTCAAAATGTTTATCCAATTCTTGTGTTGAATATATGTTTAGAACAATGATTCTTTTTAAGACAAGCTTTTGTAACAAAGCAACCATAGCTTTGACGCTGGTACTGGAAATAAAAAACTAGATCGTACTCACTTTGTTCAGGTCCGTTTTGCTTTTTCTATAATTGATAAAGAATAAGTATCATAAAATAACATCGAATCTCCAAAAAGTATTAGTTCAATTAACAAAACCATTCATCTTAAACTTTCAAACATAAGGAACTAAACAAATCATATATCTGAGTGTTTAATATATTATTGACACGTATTTCACCATTAGCAGACTGAACGTATACATATATTTCTTTTATAAAAGTAAAAGTCTTAAAGATTTTATTTTTCAGACATGACAAATGTTATCAGATGTAAATCATCATAATATGCGCTGTTAATACAGTTGTATTACCTTCAATTCATTTAATTTTTTTTTTTTTTTAATTGACCCAAACATCAGTATATTCTTTTAACAATATAGAACCATAATAATAATAATAAGGATATGGAAATAACGAACAGTATTCAATCTCAACGTCCATTAAACAAATATACAAAACAAGAGCAGAGCAAACACGGACCTCCGAAACATCAGAGGTGGGATCAGGTGCCATGGAGGAGTGAGCATCCCCTGCTGACCGGTCACACCCGCCGTGTGCTCATTGTCATAATCAGGAAATAACGGAAAAAATCCGTAGTCAATTCAGTGTATAAATAATGGACTAACAATTGGTATGAAAAACGTCAGTCAGCATTTCATTCAATGATAAATTGTATTTGCTGACAAGGTCATTGTATCGACCATAGAATTTACGAAATGATGACTTTAAACGAGACTGTTGATATTCTTGTTTCATCAACTTGCTTGTCAATAATTTACCTCGTTTAAGAAATTGTTCATACGTAGAGCATGCTCTTGCGTATCGAATCAACTGAGATATAAATACTCCGTATGCAGGTGATGAAGGTATATTGCTGCATAAGTAAGGGAAGTTGACGATAGAAAAGTTAAAGTCATCACGTTTATCATATAGCTTGGTTGTTAGATTACCATTTGTGTCTTTTTCAAGTAAAATATCCAAGTATGAAGCAGATGTATATTCTTTATGTATATAGATTTTGATTTTTCCATTGGCCAGATTGAACGCAAACATGTATATCTCCTATACATTTATGAATTTTTAAATAAAAACGACATCTTTACATTCCAAACAAAACAAATGACGATTGTTTAGCTTAAGTAATCATCATTATTATCGCCGTAAAGCATTTTCCTTCAATTTTCTTGCCGAAAGTAAATAAGTTCTGAAAATCAATTAGAATTTTCAACAAGCCTTTAAGAATAAACACATGTACAAATATATCAATTTTGTATACCATAGTATCGCTGTAAATTATTTGCTGGCTGCATCAGACTGTGAACTTGAATTTATCATGATAACGCCACTGAGAACATACTATTCGACCAGACTTTATCAAGCTGCGACGTGCTACACACAAGGAAAATGTATAGAACTCCACTGGCTGCGTCAATACGCACCAGGACTTCCACTGGCTGCAACATGCTATGCACCAGGACTTCCACTGGCTGCAACATGCTATGCACCAGGACTTCCACTGGCTGCAACATGCTATGCACCAGGACTTCCACTGGTTGCAACATGCTATGCACCAGGACTTCCACTGGCTACAACATGCTATGCACCAGGACTTCCACTGGCTGCAACATGCTATGCACCAGGACTTCCACTGGCTGCAACATGCTATGCACCAGGACTTCCACGGATGGATCGTGCTGTGCACCAGAAACACCCTGGAAACTATACTTGCGTCACATACGCACCAATATAAACTTCACTGGCTGTAACATGCTATGCACCAAGAACATAATGTTAAATCTACTAGTTGCAGTATGCTTAGCGCCAGGATTACTATAAAGATTTCTGTGCATTAAATGTATCATACATTATGAATCTTCATGTGTAGTAAAACCAAAACTTCATAACTGTGCAAAATTATAACTATTTTATAAACTTCTATTACAAAATACAATTCAGTACTGTTTTTCCATTACACTATATAAAGAATTTTTCACAAGTAAATTTTTAACGACTTCTAGATCACTATTCATTTTATATTCTGTGACAGTGTCCATGGATATGATTTTTATAACATTTTAAATTTCTTGAGCCTTTAGAGCGGCATTTCCATGTACATCTGATTTTCCAATTTTAAACGAAGCAGTAACGTATCATATATAACACAGATAAAGTATAATCACAACCGTTCAATGTAGATACAAACACAGGGTCTTGAGCC